TCGCCAGCGTTGTACTACTATGTAATGATCAGCTATAAGCCATGGTCCTTCAAACAAGGCATGCTTATAGTCTTCTTCAGACGTAAACTGCACCAGATAATAATCTTGAGAGATATCCACCAACCGTACAGCACCTGTTTTTGCCCATTCTCGTTGCACTTTATTGTCGATCATTCTAAAGGCAACACGTTTACCTAACACATGAATTACTAGGGAGTTCCTCCATGGTGCACACCATTTCTCGAACTCTTCTTGGGTCACATGGATCTTTGGGCATGGATCCAACTCTGTCTCATCCAGAAACGTTTCATCGTTCTCCTTATAGAAACCTTCCTCAGGACATTCCATCTCTTGTAACAAACTATTAAAATCCATGAAGATTCTCCCTCCATCATTTGACAGCAGACTATCCATATACGATTTAGGAGGATTTTGGGATGGAGGATCAACAGCAATGGTTTCCTCCATGTAAGCATCAGTTTGTAATGGCCCTTCAGATTCAGACTCCTTTGTTTTGACTTTTTTTGTGTGTCGTTGGGGGGGATCATCTAAAGACGACACCCCTTCCATTCTCTCCCTCACTGATCAGCCAGGGACAACTAGAGGGAGGGTTCGAAATCAGCGTGCGTGGAGCGTTCCAATAATCGTTCCGCTGCTATTTATTTATTATTTGTGACAAGTTTTATCCACAAATATTCACAAGTATAAATATTTTTGCCATTTCTATTGATACTTAAGTAATATTTAATATGTTATATTACAGCATCAACATTTTAACTTCCTTATCATGTCGCACTTTCTGAAGATAATTTTTAATATACTTATCATCCGTAACCTAAATAAAAGCTTTATTTTAATTTTTATTGTTTTTAAGTAATAATTTTATCAATTTTTACAACTTAAAAGTTCTTACTAATTTTCGTAACTTTCTCCATCTTGATAAACTTTATATTCTACTCATTTAAATTAAGAATATAAATGATATGTTAAAATATTAGTTTGAGTGCAATTAGATTTAATCTTGAGTAATTAAAGTCCTGAGTTTTAATTTTGTAAAAGTGGTTGGAAGGAAAGATTTTACTAGAGATGGTTAATCATATTTTTCGATAAAAATTAATTATGAATAAAGTCAATAAATAATTCACACCGATAACATGATTATTTAGAAAATCATGTGTTCAAGTATGTTTAATAATTCATGTGATTCTTATAACAATCTTTAATTTTTAGTCATTATATTTATATATAAAAAATCATTCGGTTTAGTATCTATATTCAACCATTTTAAATTTGTTTTGGCTCTTGTTATTAAATAAAGCTTAACGTCGTTAATGATAGTTAACAGGATGTTGACTTATGTTGTGCTTTATAAATCATATGTTATGTTTTAATCCCTTTATTTGCGCTATATTTATTTTTTGGTCTCTATATTTACATTATCTTTATCTTTTGGTTTATACTTGCGAAATCTTTATATTTTAATTAGTTCCTTGGAAGCTACATTTTTTAGTTCCTACACAAGCAAATTTTTTTAAATCCTTTTAAATCAACTAATTTTCATTAACACAAAATTAATAAATTAAGGTTGTAGAGTTTAGAGGTGCATTTTAGACAAAACAAAGTAGCCATTGAGTAACAATTTTTGTTGGCTCTCCTTGTAGTGATAGAGACTTGTTACATCATTTTTATTTTATTGCATAAAATATTTAGAAATATATAATGCATCAAACCCTTGTTGCATCATTTAACTTCAATAATCATTTTAATCTTACAATACCAAATGCTTCGATATTTGTGTTACGGTTATATGAACATTCTTTTATGGTTCAATCCTTATCAACAATAACCATCTAACTCTATTAACTCTAGGTTCTTTAAAAATTAGAACAAAATCAAGACTGACGGTGCAAAATTGCCAAAATGAAATTCGATGGATGTTAAATGGTTGGAAATTTGAAAATGTTTCCACCATACATCACCTCCAAAGGTAGTTTTTGGCAACTGCATGGTGAAAGTATTATGTAATTCAAAAAAAAAATTAAATGAAAATTTTCTTGTTCCCAAGTTTTTAATGTCGTAAGCCGCCATTGTCACTGCAAAGAATGACAAAGAAAATCTCTACTCACAACCTACTTTGTTTTGTCCATAAAACGTGTTTCAACACTACAATCTTGAGACTATATATGATTTAGAGTTAATGATAATTAATTGATGTAAGAAGATTTAAAAGAAATACAACTTACGAAATAAAAAGAGGACAGAGATGTTAATAAGGAAAAATAAGAAGGGAAAATGTGTGGAAAGGAGAAGGAGAAAGAAGACATGACATAGGTGTTGATGGGGACTAAAACATTAAAAAAAAAATGAAAATTGCTCATACAAAGACTAAAATAAGTAGTTTCTAAGTGTAAGGACTAAAAGATAAAGATTGTATAAGTATAATACTGTATGTTAAAAGTGAAATTAGAAGGGGTTGAATATCATCTTAAACAATTTCCTTTTTGTGGAGAAAAGAAATACTCTAGAAGAATGGTTGAATAGTATAGTCAAAAACTCAACTTTTCAAAATAGTGAAATAGTAGCATAAGCCTTAAAAAAATGTAGATGAAACAAGAGATAAAGAACAAAAGAATTTTTAAACTAATTCGTTTCAACTACCAATATTACATATAGATCTTTATGAACTTAATCAAGTTTCACTATCTTTACAAATATACAAATATTATTTCACAAACCATTTTGACTTAAGTCACTCCTAACTTTACAAAACTACCGAATGCAAAGTATCTTATATAAGCTAAGGTTTTCTCTTCATAAAGAAAAATTATTACAATGAAGAAAGCAAAGAGTATTTTAGAGTATAAGACTTTTTCACATTTCTATTTTACATTTGTTTCACCACTCTATATTTGTGTACAAGAAGATTCCTTGGTTTTTATATAAACATTTGAATCAAGTGAACTAGTTTGAGCCTCCATTCATATGATATGTCCTATTAGAATTGGTTTGACTCCAACAAATTTTGTGAAAATCGATGACTCGATTGACATGACTTGGCTAGATCATAGATTTCTGTATTTACTTTTGTAAACATTCTACACTACACTGCCAATGTTCATCAATAGTTGAGCTACCTTGGAAGCTAATTTATTAAAAAAAAAAGTTAAAATTTTGCTCCTCATAAGACCCAACATAGGTCTTATGGATCTTTAAAGGTTAAAGGTAACACTACACCAACATGTTATTATGTATTTTAAAGGAAAAACATAATATTTATATAATATCAATAATGTAAAATAATATTTAATATTATACTAATTCATTCAATTCAATGACTCATTACTTCAATCAAAGACCTATTAACTCAATACTTTGACCAAGTTGATCACCTGTTCGATTGTAATAACACTAACTAACAAAGAAAGTGTTGACTTCTTTTCATGAATAATGAATTTGTAGACAAGTGGAAGACTAGTTTTATCTTTTATTTCTTTAAGACTCTTCTTAATAAAGATGTTGTATTCTTTTTTTCAGGTGTTAAACCCTAAGATAGTTGTATTATGATAAATTGCAAGAGACTAATTTTAAGCAAGTCATAGTTCTTTAAAACAACATTTATTATATATGGTCTATGTGGTTTCATTTGTAATAGACAATACTTATAGACTAAGCAAACAAAATTAAAGAAATATATTTTTTGATATATATACTCTTAAAAATAAAGCTTCAAAAAGACAAGTTTATTATAATTAAAACTTATAAAATAGTAGCAGTAATCATAATTCATCATTTGAACATCAAGGACCACAAAGTTTAGATAGTGCAAGTATAGAGAGGAAAAGGTATTGATTATGTGGATCAAAAGAAGAAAGTATAAGGACTAAAACGCAGGTCAATGTCATTTTAATTTGGCGATCATAATATCAATATCTATTCAGACAAAAGGTATACAGACAAAGTTTCATTCTGATATCAATATCTATTCACATCCATACATTTATTATTCATATGCGAGTAACAGTCATTATTGGATTTCAAACATAGCTCTTAATAGAAGAACTGTAACCACTCTGAACATCATAATACCTAGACCACAGCATAACACCTCCATATTTAGCAGAACCCTTAATGGCTGGAAGAACTTTGGAGGTAAAATCAGAAGCAGGAAGGAAGCCCCTTCCTGCAGCCTGTGGTGAAGCCGGTAACCCCAAGAATATCTTGTTGGCAGGGATACCTGATATCCACTGTTTCCATGCATATTCAAGGTTACTGATTTCACCAGAAGTGTATTGGCAAGGAGGGTTGTTGTAGAATTGGACCCAAACATAGTCAAAAAGGCCTGTTGTGAGAGCATTTCCAATCCAAGCATCAGGAAATGGGCACTGAGGTGCTGCAGTTATGTACACTTGTTTTCCATACCCTTTGAGGAACCTAGCAAGATGACCCCAGTGTTGGTTTGATCCACCTTCAATGTCAAAATCAATGCCATCAAGAACAGCAGGGCCAAGAGGGCGAGTCGGTGATTGTCCCCCCAAGAAGTTGTTCCAAAGATAAGTGGCTACTTCACTTGCATCAATTGTGTGGCTTCCAACATCTGCTCTTAAAGATAGCAATACCTTGATGCCTTTGGCTTGACAAGATTTTATGTCTGAGCTTAATCCAGTGCATCCATTACCATATGAAGGGTCACAGTGACCAGCAAGATTAATCATTGGAGTTTGGCCATTGCCAAAGGTTGGCAAAAAGGCTATGATCACATAATCATAGTTCCCTGTGGCACAAGCCTCAGCCAGCGTGCCCTCGTTGCCATTTTGGCCCCAGTAGACAGTAATTTTCCCAGCATATGAACCATTTGCCAGTGTTAACAAGACTAAGCACAAGAATGTGACTGAGATTGCTGATTTCAATGCCATTGTGAAGAGGGTAATATCTAAGGAAATGCTTAAAGATAGTTAAGTATTTAGGCTGTTTCTATGCCAAGCACTGATGGGGGAAAACTTCTCTTATAAAGTTCATATGTTTCAATCCTTTCAAAATTAACTTTGTTGCTTTTCTCATTTAGAGCGTGCCTTGTCAGTCATGTTTAATATACTAATTGCTGAATTCATGGAAGCAACGTGCAAATTTACCAATCTCTTGGCAATTTTAACATCTTCTATATTTGCTCTTGTTCAGTGCTTTCCTAAATTTCTTCCAGCATTCTCCACTTGTAAGAATGATAAAATAAAATAGCAGTCAAATGTATAACCATGCTGACAAACTAATATATTTTTTGAGACATCGTGGTGAAATGATCAAAACATTCAGAATTTGTTTACTTGTTATATATATAGCTGAGAGCTTGTTGATATTTATGAGTTTGTTTCTTTGATAGTTGTCAGTTTTGAGCTTATGCAACACAGGCAACACATAATCTTGTTGGCTTGACAACTGACAAGAGTAGCATTTATGTGGCAAGTCATGTTGGAAATTTAATTTTGATATTATTTACTACTCTTTTTTTTTTCTTCTCATTCACGTCTCCATAACTAGAGGCAGTACAGAATTAATAAATAAAAAAATAGCCAAAGGAAAATAACTTTCTCCTAAAATCTGTCCATGGAATAAAAGTTAAGCAGATGTGACTATTTAGTTCAACCTTTAGACAATTTTGCTTTCAGATGGTCCAATAATTCCAAAATTTAAAGATAATATTAATTTAAAGATAAATCTATCCTTTCATAGTAAAGGTCACATTATATTAATTATTAAATAAGTCTTTCTCTCTTGTTTTTTTTTTTTTTTCTCTTTTTCCCTGGCTGTTTAAATTAGTACAGTAGGGGATCATGAATTATTCTTGTTGATATGATTGTAAGGCAAATATGGTTTACCTGAATATATATGTAGTGCATTGAAGCTTAGCATTGTTGTTGTCATATTTGTGTTTATCTATATTCGGTAGAAAGCTCCAAAATGAGTGTTTTCAGGACTGGGGAGTTAAGTTTTAGTCCAAGGATTATATGCTCTCAAACCAAATCTCTGATATTTTGCATCTTAACGCCAATAAATGACAAGCAAGATAGGTAGATAGATAGATAGATAGATAGATAGATAGATAGATAGATAGATAGATAGATAGATAGATAGATAGATAAATAGATAGATAGGTAGAGATCTGTTTACTCCAAGAGTAACTCGACCTATATCTACTCTGTTCAATGACTATAACTCATGCACTATATAAATTAAATCTTAACAATCTAACCATTGAATTTAAAATTCTTAATACTTAGATCAAATCTACAAATTTTTAAAAAAATTTAAAAATCATTTGATATTTCATTTCATTAATTCAAATTAACGGATAATCATAAAAACATGTTATCTGTCAATTTGAATTAATGAAATGAAGTATAAAATAGTTTCCAATATTTTTAAAAATTTACAGATTTGATCAGTGCATTAAGAACTTTAAATTCAACGGTTGGATCGTTGTAATTTGATGTAGAAGATGAGTTATTGAACAGAATAAGTCTAAGTAGACTTACTATTGGAGTAAATGAATCCTTCCTCATATATATATATATATATATATATTCTTGATTTGATAGTGTTGAAAAATGCCTTAGTGATTCCGTTGAAATATACATGAATAATTTATCAATAAACAATAGAGTGATATTTTTGTTTAAAAGTAATTAATAATGTCCCGGAGTTTTTTTTTTTTTTCAGTTAAGTTTGACCACGTAAGTAATTAGTCAATTGCATTTTTTTAAATAGGCTAAATTTTACTTTTGATGTTTTATAATATCAAATTCATAATTTTGGTTCATTTATATTTAAATTTGCAATCTTAGTCTTGATTTTATAAAATTTACAATTTCAGTCCTCTTATTAAATGTTCATCATTTGTTCTTTAAAATTATAATGTTAGCTATAATTTGACATTATGTAGATGACATAATAATTAACATTTAACAATATTTAGACCAAAATTTTAATTTTAGTTCTCATTTTTATCTCATAAAAGTGATAAAATAATATGAAAATGAGAATTAAAAGTGTAACTTATTTTAAATATTAATTATTACACTATCTATATAATGTTAAGTAAAAAAAAATATTATAATTTTAATAATTAACAGATGAACATTCTACGAGCGACTAAAATTACGAATTTTATAAAATTGAGGGACTATAATTATGGATTTAAAAATAGAGAGATCAAAATTATGAATTCGATTTTATAGAAGGATCAAAAGTGTAATTTAGTCATTTTAATAAGAATGTATTTTTCTTTCTCATTATGTTGGTTCCTATAGGGTAAAATAGTACTTTTAAAGGGAACTCCATGTCTAAGCCAAATCTCAGTCTTTTGGTTAAGGAATACAAGTATCAAACCATTTATGCTAATGATTTTGGGTAGATTGCATTTACTTTTCTACATATTCTAAAATAACTTGGTCCTTGATTAAGGAATAAAAGTGTCAAAGCATTTGTGCTTATAATTTTTTGGTAAATTGTGTTCACTTTTGTGCATATATTAAACTTAAAATAACTTTTTATACATAATTATGTGCTTAAAATAAGCAATAGACCATATTCACATAAAACAATATAGAGAATAAGTTTATATTTTGTGTGATAAAAATAGACATTATTATAACCAACGTTTTAAATTGTGGATCACAACACTTGTTGCGACTGTAATATTGTTGTTGAAATTTTTTCGAATACAAATCAGGTCCTACATTATTAGAATGACAGGAAAAATAAAGGTTTATAAGCTATACACATAACCCATTGGTTGGAGGCCTTTTGAGTAATAACTAAAAAAAATCATAAGAGAAAAAATTCAAAGTGAACAATATTTTACCAATGTGAATTTGTGTGTGAAATATCTGATAAAAATAATAAAAGAAATAACCCTCCTCTATAAATATATTTTTCTCAAACAAATACAATAACATAACCACACACGAACAAAATCACATTAATAGTGGTATCAGATTACTGACAACAATGGCAAATGCCACTGATTGGATTTGGTAACAACTAATAACTCAAGACTATAACAAAAAAAATGATATAATGATATATAAGGGTAGATTTCGCTGAATGGAAGGTTAGGTTCTTCGTTTGAGAGGTGGATTGTTGGAATACAAACTAAGTCTCACATTGTTAGAATAAGAGGAAAAATAAAGGTTTATAAAGCATAAACATACTCTATTAGTTAGAGGTCTTTTGGATGATAACAAAAAGAAAAACTACAAAGGTTTAAGTCCAAAGTGGACAATACTTACCATTGTGGAGTTGTGTGAAGTTAGTGGAAAATACACAGAAGGAGGGTTGAATGTGTGTGTGTGAACGAAGGAATTTTAAAACCTTTTTCGCAAAGAGACTTTTTTTTTTCATCTAGTCAAAACAATTATTTTGAACACTTTAAGAACTGTGCAAGGTTGGCTCAACAAAAGTATTTTGCGTCTGAGAGTTTATCGTCTGCACAAGGAAAATATTTCTTAAAATAAAATGTTAAGTAAGTATATTTTTCGTCTGAAGATAGTTGCAGTAAAAAATAAGTAGTGGACGAAATTTTCAGTATGATCTATGAGCTAAACAAAATTGCGTCTGAGAAATAGATGAAAAGTGCAAAGAGTTTTATACTGGTTCGCTTGACTTGAGCTACGTCCAGTCTCCTTCAACCGGAAGGTTCCACGAATCACAACAGATTACAAGTATTATCAACCACTTCTGGTTCGCCAACTTCACTCGTCAGCGCTAGTATTCTTAAACAACTTTTGGTTCCCCAAGTATTATCAACCACTCCTGGTTCGCCAACTTCACTCGTCAACGCTAGTATTCTTAAACCACTTCTAGTTTCCCAAGTATTCTTTCAACTAGTCTCTTCAAGCTTTACAACAGATAGATGGTTTGAGTGTGTGTATAACTCTCACAGAGAGGATATGATGGTTTCTACACTCGCTAAGGTATGCAACCTTAGTTTTACAGAGATATGTGTTTTGAGTGTGTGTATTACTCTCACAGAGAGGATAGGATAGTCTCAATAGTCACTAAGATAAGTTATCTTAGATTTACACAAATATTCAAGACTATACAGGAAGAGATGTGAGTTTGCTTTGCTTTTGCTTATTGTTTGTTGCTTCTCTTCTCTACTTTCTTCTTTGTTAAGTCCTGATATTTATAGCCTCGTGATAAATCTCCCGTTGTTTAAATTTGAAAGTGTTCGTTGGAGCGGAGCTTCCTATTGGCGCAGATAGTAGTTTGTTCATGGCCATATAGATCTTTCATTTAACGCATTTGATCTTGTATTAAATGTTTGCTTATTGAATTTGTGTTACATGAAGTCTTTTGTGTAGTTTGTTCACTTTTATTTCTAACTTCAATCATAACCTAGGTATTTCTGTTCTCTTTCCGTCATTGTAATTGCAGAGGCGTTGTCTTTTTCTAAAAAGTAGGTGTACTTTCTTCTGACACACGCATGCTTTGACTTGTGGATCCGCGCTTGTCTATCTTTCTTCTTTCTTCTCACAAATTTGATGACTTCGTGTGCTCTTCTATAAATGTAGAGAATATTTGATGTCTCTTGTTGTGAATAGTGGACTTCAGACACTTTTCAGTATTCTTCATCTCCGTTTGATAAAGCATCTCAAATTTGAGTCTTCATCTGAGAAGTAGACTTTGACTTTTCCTTCCGTCTGGTCAGTTGTGAAGATGGAAGAATTTAATTTCATCTGGAACGGTTCTTCGTCTTGTGTTATCCATCGTTTGATACTTTGTTGACCTTTGACTGATAGTACGCCTTGTCTTGTATTTATTGTATTTTTGTCTGGCTTTTGATCATCATCGTATGATACTTTGTACAGCTCAACCAGGCTTCGTTTGGTTTGACCATAGTGTGTGTAATAACATGTAC